AATCTATTATCTAGGATGATAATCGATTATCCTAACATATGTGATGAATCCGAAAATTTGTTGTGTCAAAACCACTAAAATAATCAATTATCTTAAGTGATAATCGATTATCACAGTGAATTTTGTGTAAATGTGATCCTCTCGAGAATAATTGATTATCACTTTTGATAATCAATTATCCTAGTGTATTTTTGCTGAAAAATTGCATTTTGATGAAGAATGAATGTGGACCAAGCTGGAGGTGTTGTAGAACATGAGGATAACCAAAGAATGAGATTAGTGGTTATGTTTAGGGTTAGATTTGACTTGTGGTTGAGATTAGAACATGAGTGAATGTTGGAGTGTACCTCATGGTATGGTTGATGGGCATAAGAGTGGAGGATAGGTCTACTTTTTGTACCAAGTAAATCCTGAGTTTATCTACATATAAGTGCTTCCTTTTTCCTTATCTGCAAAGGAAGCGTTGTTCAGGTATTGAACCTTCCTTGTGTGGGAGTGATGGTGTTTTCCTTGTCCTTATGTGGCATGATTACATGTTCTTTAATTGGATTACAGAACTATTCGAGCAGATCTGTAAGGGAGGCTATAAATTGGTCTGTAAGAGTGGCTACAATGGATGAGGTAGGGTAGGGTGTTCATGGAACAATGATGCTCATGGTGTTGTTCATGACTGAGATAGTCATTGTGATGGTGTATCTATGATAATGATCATAATATTATAGATGCTCCAAGTGATGTTATGTTGGTAGTCATGTTACTATAATGGTTATAGTAAGTAGTTAACATAGGTGCTAATGAGTAGATAACCAAAGGTCTATGTGTGAGATATTAGTAATGACATCAAGGGTTAAGGAAATCAAAGATCGAGGATCGAAGATCAAGGATCATGGATCGAGAATTGAGTAATTCATTGTGATCAAGGACTAGGGATGCTAGAGGATTATGAATATTATTGTTATTACCATTGGGTATATGGTGCTTTATGGTTGATATATATATTCAGTGTGTTTATATGTTGTTATTATTATTATTATTGTTTTATTAGTAACTTACCCCATATGTGTTTGTATTTGTGTGTTGTGAATGAAATTATCGGCGATGATCATATAATATGTTATACGTGAGATGATGTTGCAGATGATGTTGAGGCATGATAGATTTGAGAGATGACGGGAAACAAACTTGAAATTTTTAATGAAAGCTATTTTTCTTAAATTTAAGACAATGTAGTTGGAGTTATTTTAATTCATTTGTAACTCCCATTATTTGAATAATGTAATTGGACAAGTCTTTTGAAACTCATATACTTTGAATAAATTATGCATGTTTAAATGTTATCTTTTTGAAAAATACGTTTTCGCGCTATAAGAAAGTTTTGAATTTTACGATTTTTTAATAACCTGTGACACCCTGAAATTTGGGGCATCACACTGAACTCTTCTAATCATTCATACTCATGTAGAGGAGAATGATTAGGTGGTAAGAGTGACAAAAGGTCCTATTATAAGGACGACTCCCAAGTTCTTAGGACCATGACATGAACTAACCTTGTGTGTGTCAACTCGGTAGAACAACTAAGTAGAGCAGTATTTTTGTCACCACAAGTGTATGACTTCACTAGTCTAGCTTAATGGCACGTACCTAGATAAATGAAGTCTAGTAAGAGTCTTTAAATGTGATATGTTTGTTTTATGAATGAATGATGGTGATGAAAAATCTTTATCTATTTTATGAATATTTTTTTATATATATGACCCTTTCTACTGTGTTGTTATGCTTGTGTTGTACTTTTAGTTTCCAATAATAATCTTAATGGTGTGAGCATATGAAGATAAAATTGTTGATCCAGTTTAGGATCATGCGGTAACTTAGATTAGGTTGATGAGCAGTGAATATAGATGGCAACGGGTCAGGTCGGGCATAAATAATTCCTACCCACAACTCGACCCGCTACCCGTTGGAAAAAAAAAGATATGAGGAAGAAACACCCAGTAACTGAAGTTTCAATTTAGTCATAGGGTTAACCCACAAATACCTATCAATGTATGAAACAAAGAGATAAGGAATTTCCAAGAGAACGCAAACAGGAACCCTAAACCCAAATTCCGAAAACGAACGCAATCACAAAAATCTCCAAACCGCGATAACCACCAGGGTCTTCTAAAATCCAATCTGCATCAATGAACTAAAATCCAAAAAAAACTCAAAACACTCATTCAAATCATAACCCCAAAATCGCATCACCAATTAACAAGGAAGAAATCAAGAAACAGACTCCCAAAACGCAAATCAAAACATACGAAAGAAACCCCAAAAATCAGAGAACAAATAAAGCCCTAATTTCAAATCCCAAATTGGAACAAAACCCCAATCACAACCAAAATAGATAGACAGGAAGAGGGAATGGAGCCTACTCCCTACGCGAGCTGAACCAGAAGGAAGAAGAAAAGAGTCCTCCGTTAAGAGAGAATTTTCTAATGAGATTCTATGTATATGTTTGATATCTCTCTTAGGATTGGGTCAAAAGTAATGTAACCTTCTTTTTTTCTTTTAAAAAAAGGGTAATTGAAAGGAATCCTAAGTCATTATTATTAAAATTTTCCTTTTTTAAGAGTAATAAAAAAAATTAATTTTAAAAATATTAATTAAATTATTATTATTATTATTTTCGTGAGGTAACGGATATCCGTGGGTTGAATAGTATAATACCCGCATCTGACCCATTTAGAAGCAAATATTAAAATACCCGCTACTCGCTACCCACGGGTAATAAATATCCGCGAATAGTAACTATCTGTCGCAGATTTTATCCATGGACATAGATTTTTTTGTCATCCCTAACACTTACTTAGACTAGGTTGATAAGGGTGTTACTCCCTCCACCCCCACACGTCTCTTCCTCCACCTCCCCAATTTTCTAAAATGCCAATTATATCCTTTTAAAATGACAATTATATCCTCAAAAGTTAAAATTTTTTATTTTTATTATTTTAATATTTTAATTTATTTAAAACTTCTGATTTACTTCCCTCTGCACCTCTTCCTCTCTTCCATTTTCGTTTACCTTTCTCTCTTCCGTTAAGCTTCTTCTCCACCTATAACAAATTCATATTTTAACAAATTCATATTTTAACAAAATTATTACGTTTAAAAACTAACCATATATAACATTTAAAATTATAAATTTAAATATAAATTACTGTAAATAAAATAAACAAATAAAATAAAAACGAAACGTAAAAGGAACACTGCCTCTGGACGGATGACATCCTTCAACGGATGTCAACATCCGTTGAAGGCAAAACGGATGTCGACATCCGCTACGGATGTCGACATCCGTTTTGCCTTCAACGGATGTTGACATCCGTTGAAGGATGTCATCCGTCCAGAGGCAGTGTTCCTTTTACGTTTCGTTTTTATTTTACTACGTTTTGCGGCTCATGCAAGGATTATAGGCTTGGATATTAAAAGGATTATTGGAAGTATGGGAAGGATTTAGGGTTTAGGATTATTGGAAGGATTATGACTACGTACCTGGAGAGGAACCACGACAAGGACACTACACCATAAACGCACTGCACCACGTACTTCACCGAGAACAAGAAGAAGATTGTTTGATAATTCTTTTCACGATCACCAAGCTTTGTAGAAAAATATTTTACTCATACAAGAAACTACGTAGGTTATCAGTGAAATATGTTATAAATGAATAAAATTAAAAAACAACAATTTTAAAAATAAAATTTTACTGAGGGGCAAAATAGTAAAGGAAAGGTGGAGGAAGGGGCAAAATAGTAAAGGGGAGGTGGAGGAAGAGATGTGTGGGGGTGGAGGGAGCAACACCCGGTTGATAAATAGTTGTAATTTTTAACTTTTGAAAATTTTTAATTTTTCTTAATGTAGTTATGATTATCTATATTCAATACATATATGGATAACTATAATTTAGTTGTTATCATATCTATAATGTTCTCTTTGATAGTCTATACTTTTAAATAGATCTTACGTATTTTTATGCATTTAATTATAGATTTTATTTTTATTTTAATTAAAATTAAAATTGACTAGTATTTCTGTTATATAATTATGATATTATAAAATTCATAAAAACATTTTATAATTTTTTAAAATTTTGATATAAGTTTTAGTAATATTTTTAATTAATTTCATTATAGCAATTAATTTTTAATTATTTCATCGTATCAATTAATTTTTAACTATTTCATCATAAAATTTAATTACTAATTAATTTATAATAATATTTTTGTTTTTATTATCATATTGTAGTAATGACAAATGTAAAACAATTATAAAGAATAATGAAAACATATTTTTGCTATGCGTAAGTCTATTATTTTTATGATAAAAAAAATAAAATTATAATTATTAAAATAAATATAAATATTTTTTATAATTTTATTCTAAACAACTTTAATTTATTTTATATTTAATATTTTATTATGAATAGTTATTTTAATTTGAAAATGATAAATTTAATAAAAACATTGAATTAAGAAACGGTTAAATTAAAAAAAAAAACGGAAGAACAAAATTGATAAATAGTTATTTAATAAATAATCTATATATAAAGAGGAGGATTTCTCCTTATCATATATAATATAATAATCTAGAGGAGGATTATTTTTTGTGTCAATATTTTCTAATTTTATTCTATAAATAAAATATTTTTAATAAAATGATTGTTTTATAATTTTATTTTTTAAGTCATTTTTATTAAATTTAATTATTTTTTCAATTTGGCCATTTTTTAAAATTTAATTATCTTTTTAATTAGAAAATTACTTATAAGAAAACTACTTATAATAATATCATAAAAATTAAAATATATAATTTTATAATAATAATAATAATAATAATAATAATAATAATAATAATAATAATAATAATAATTTTACTATTTTATTATAATATCATAAAAAAACACATGTTAATAATAGTATAAATATGTCTAATTACCTTTTAAACGCTTAATATTGTATCTTTAATGTAGACTCATTATACTACCAAAAATAAGTGAAAAAAACTCTAGATACAGAGACTTTAGTATTTTTAGATTCTCTACAGATTAAATAAGAAAAAAAACAATAGTTTGATAACCATATTTTGAACAAGTATCTGCACAAAACTGAAGTTGTACAGGCAGCCATAGGCTATGACCACCACTTTAAAGCCACCCATTGGGTTGCGCTTCCTCCAACAACCGTCGTTTTTTCTTGGTTCCAAATCGTGTGTTTCGACCTCTCCTCTTTCTCAATTGCATTTTGTTGGGACGAATCCTTAACCATATTCCTAATTGCAGGCTAAAGTTCCCAACCACTCAGCTTCCCAGAATCAACTGTAGCCACTCCTCTTTCGAAGTATGTTCTACTCCAGTTACTCTAAGGCCTTTGCTTTACCACTAACCATTTCCATTATTGCACTCACATGAACTAGAATTGTTTTTGTCTCTTGCGAATTATAATTCTGGTAAATATACAGTGCATGTTTGGATTGAATTTGGGATAACCTAAAATACCTTTTACTCTGGAATAAGCAATTTTTTTTTGTCGTTTTTCATTTGATGTATTGGAATTTATTATTCTGCATTGGATGGATTGGAACATTACGTGGAAACTGCGGAAATGTATGTATTGAAAGGCTATATTTTTGCTTAAGGTTCGAGAGGTTAGCTATCAACCCCCGGGGACTCAGCTTAAACTTCTAAATTCAGTTAGCTTTTCACTTCCAGAGAAAAGGTTCGTAATTGTATGTGTCTTTGTTTCGTTGTATTACTAACTTCAAAATACTAAGATGATTGTCCTTACTATGAAAGTTTCAATGATGCATCTTCCAAGATTTTTTTTTTCTTTTTTTCTTTTGTATTATGTGGCAGCTTATTTCTGTCAATTGCAACAGTTTCGGCCTAATTTTCGGACAGAGTGGAAGTGGAAAAACAACCCTATTGCAGGTTATACGTTTTGTCCCTTTAGTTCATGTTGCGTTTAGGTTGATGGTGGTCATAGCTCACGAAATGGCCTTGCATTTCTTCATTTAGCTTCTTGCAGGAATATGCAAACCAACCTCGGGATCTATTTACATCCAAAAGTATGGGAATGATGGAAATCCTAGTCAAACTCCGGAGCCCTTGGTGCCAGAAAGGGTTGGTATTGTCTTCCAGTTTCCTGAGAGGTATGAATATAAACTAATTGAATATAGTAAGAGGTTTTGTTAATCTCTATCTTGCATTTGTTTTAATTTTGTGCCATAAATCTTGACTACATGTCAAATATGTTGTTTGAGTGTAAGTGAATTGGCTGTTAAGGTGAGTAATTGAGTGTGAAGAAGAGGAAGAAAGGCGATATTAAGGTGAAGGTTGTGGAAAGTGTGAAGGCTAAGAAAAGCAAGGTGTCGTGAGTAGGACTATGTTGTCCGTCACTGATATATGCTAGAAATTTGTGCTTGTTGTGGCTTTAGGCAAGCCTATGTGGTTTTGCTTCTTGAGTCCTTTGGTGGATTTTGGTTTTTGATTATGTTATTATGGTGGTTGCTTTTATGTTGGTTCAATTTGTGTGATTTGCTTCAAAATTATAATTGAGGCTTAGAATATTGTTAAATGGGTAAAATCAAACCGTGGTATTCTCTTAGAAAATGAACTTTAGTTCTTAACTCTAATTTATAAAACCTGTTTTGTATGTTAAGGTTTGCATTCACTTGTATTTGATTTAGGATCTACAACAAGTTTCCTCACATCGGCTCAAACATGAAAATAGGGGTTGAATAACAGGTGATGTGATAGGATATGTTAGATACCATCTTATAGAAAAATGGACTTTAAGGTTAACTCAATCTTACAAAACTAGTTTTATAGGAGGACTAAAGTGGACTTTAAACTTGTTTGAACCACATAAAACTGGCTTAGTAAGATGGAGTTTGTGTGTGTGTGTATGTATGTATGTATGTATATATATATATATATATATATTTATATATGTATGCATGTATATGTATGTATATAGTGTGGCCATCTTTTGAAGATGTGAGATCTCAAACACATACCTTTACATCAAGGACATCAAACATGTGAATAGAGGTGTGTTGAATAGTGGATGGTACGATAGGCCAACAAACATACTAGGATAGACTTTTGTATTTTCTTAAAAAATAAAGGCTTAATACCTCTTTTGGTCCCTCTTTAGGGGGGCAATGTTCAAGTCCGTCCTACCTTTTTTAAAAAGTTCAATGTGATCCCAACTTGTGAAAAAAGTGTGCAATTAAATCCTTTTTGGTTACGGTGTTAATTTTTTAACGGTCCAAGTGCCCTCCTGGAAAAAACATAATAAGGTGTCCACTTTTTGTGATTGCGTGGCATTGGAAAGTTAAATGACATGTTCAGCGAGAGAGAGGAATCTGTGCGAGAAGAGGGAGACTGAGAGGCTAACGAGCTCTTCGGCGAAGTGAAGAACGCGTTCGGCAGCTGTTGCGGAGAGACGACGGAGCTCGTCCCGAGTGGTGATGCGCTGTGTGTCATCTCCGACGATGGCAGTGGAATGGATAGCGGTCCAAATCTTGCAATTTGGGATTAGGGTTTTCGAATTTGGGTTTTTGTTTGATCTGAGTTTGGGTTCCTTTGAGAGCTAGAATCCCGGCTGTAGAGCTGCGATCGTTGGGGCAGGTGGCTACAGTGTCGTAGGCCCTGGCGGCTTCCTCTACGGTGAAGCAGCCCCAAAGACGCCTCTGAAATGGGCCTCTTTGGGTGGCGGCGGAGCATGGGTGAGCAATGTATCCCATTCTGAAGAAACACGATTAGAAGCACATGTCCAAACTCAACACTTTTGCATCCAATTGTTTGTTGTTGCTATTGTTGCCATGAAGGAGTTTCCTTCTTGTTTTGGAGAAAATGGGGTTCAGGTGCTGACTCATCCTCATCAAGCACCACAAGAGCGGCTCAAAATGTTGTCACATGTGTGTACCAGTGCAAATTAAGACGCTGTTCATGTCTGATCATGGTCTCCTGGTCCAAAACTCTGATGGGTCAAGGCTTGAGCGTGGGAATTGATGATTTGGGAAATCATTGTCTCTGCAAGGTTGAGATAAAGCCATCGCTATTCTTAAAGAGAAAAGGGTCCAAGAATTTGGAGGTCCAATCTGGTAAAATTGATATCTTTTGGGATTTGAGTTGTGCCAAGTTTGGTTTCAGGCCTGAGCCGCTGGAGGGGTTCTACTTAGCGGTGGTGTTCAACAAGGAGCTGGTGTTGTTGCTTGGGGATCTGAAAAAGGAGGCATGCAAGAAGATGGACAGTGATTGTGCTTTTTCCCACAATGGTACCGTTTTCATCGCAGCGGAGAGCCGCATGGCCACCGACAGGCTTGATTCGGAGGCCGTTATGGAGAGCGAGAGATTTTCCATGGCGGAGTTATCATAAAGCTTTGATCCATGGCAGAGTTATCATAAAGCTGATGTGTGGCAAGTAAATTGTTCTTTTAAAATTCAAAATTAACATATTATATTCCACGTATGAGAAAAATAGGACAACTTATTAAGTGTTGGCCAACTAGGCAGCTCTACCGTTAAAATTTTGACGCCGTAACCAAAAAGGATTAACTTAATCTGATTTTTCACAAATTGGGACCACATTGAACTTTTTAAAAAAGGTAGGACGGACTTGAACATTGCCCCACTAAAGAGGGACCAAAAGAGGTATTAAGCCAAAAATAAATTTTAAGTCTAATTCAACCTTATAATACCAACTTAGTAATGTGAGGTTTGCCCCCACAATAGTAGACAATGAGAGATCTTCAACAATGATAAATGAGTTGTCTAATACACGAGGCTCCAACCATTGAGAGACTTGGAGAGGATCAAATTTATGTAACCTTTACCCCTATGGACAATGAGGCTTTTTTTTTTTGTTTTTTTTTTTTTGTGTGTGTGACTAGAAGAACCATGAATTCATGACTCCAGATCTCAAGGCAGCAGTATTGTTAACTTACTGGCTCACCATCTTCTTGATGGAAAAAAAATGTATTATATAACTGTCTAACATTAAGATGTAAATAACTACGATATTTTAGCTGATATGTTTTCTGGGCTCTTGTCAAAAAACAGGCAGCAGCAGCATAATACCTTTTGTAGCATTAGATATAACTTTCTTATGCTCTTTCCTCTAATTGAAATATTTTGAACTTTGAAGAATAATTATATTTATTTGAATATCAAAAAATTTATGGCAGTACCTTCTCTGATCTTTTATTCAGAATGGTGTGTTGTTTAATTGTCTGCATTGTACACTTTGATCATTTCATTTTTGTTGGATTGTCATTTCTAAAGTGCTACATATTTTGGTGTTGCAACCTAGGTATTTTGTCGCAGATAATGTGCTTGATGAAGTCACTTTTGGTTGGCCAAGGCAAAAGGGTAACCATCACCTCAGGGAGAATCTTACTCTAGGGCTACAAAGGGCAATTAACTGGGTAGTTATGCTTTTGTATACCACCAAGTGTATTTTTATAATACATGTATACACACACACATGGTTATCAAACTCTCAAGTTAACTCGTAAACTCTTACGAGTTTACATTTCCAGACATGGCTTTCGAGTTAACTCGGAAGTAAACTCGTTTTCTGCGTAAACTCGATAGAATCGACTGTGAAATTGGTAGGATCATGTAAAATCGTGAGTTTAGAGCGATTCTGCGAATTTGAAAGTTATATATTTAATTAAATGCATCAAAATTAATGACAATAATTCAAGTATTTATGTTTTACAATATTTATTTTTATGAACAATATAACTATAAATTTTATTTATTTAAAGTTATATAATTTTGTAGACTTATTTGAATTAAGATATTATTTATATAATTTTTTTCATCTGAAGTAAACTCGTATGAGTTTACGAGTTAAGTTTACGAGTCGAGTTTACTCGATTCTCACGAGTTTACGTAAACTTTCGAATTTGATAACCTTGCACATATACACACTTATTTTCATTCTCTTTTCTATGTTTATTGTTGAAATTAGAAGAAAATCTTTCTAATTAGGGAAAATATTTGTAGAATCTTCTTAATTAGAGAAAATATCTATAGAATTTTCTAGTTTATTTTTTCGTATATTGTTTCCTTATTTTCCTTTTTTGAAAGATTAGATTGTTATAAATAGGTGTAAGGAGAATGTAATAGACATGAATGATAATAATAAAATTCATTCTCTTTTCAGGATTTATTTAATTTAATATGTGATTGACGACTTTCTTCTCCACTAACTTATTTATATGTTTCATATGCAATGTTTTTCTTGTTTGTTACTATAGGTTGGATTAAGTGGGATATCATTGGATAAAAATCCTCACTCCCTTAGTGGTGGTTACAAACGCCGTCTTGCCTTGGCAATACAATTAGTAAGATGTTCTTTTCTAAATTCCTGCATGCTATTGCTTCGTGCTGGCACCCGACTTGCTCCTCAGTAGTATATAGATGCTACCTCATTTATTACATTTTAGATGTCAATCAAGCAAGCATGAATTGGCATATGGTTAATGGTTTTTCCAAATTTATTTTTCAGGTGCAAACCCCTGATCTATTGATATTGGATGAACCTCTTGCTGGACTCGGTATGACAATGCAACATATGATTTCTTATTTTGTTTAGCTAGTTGCTATGGTAGTTGTTAGATATATTATCTTTATCTTTTATCTTCATTAGTTAGTCTGTTATTATTTCTTATTTGTATTTTAAGTTTAGCCCATATTTGTTCTATTATAAATAAAGGACCCTATGTGTATATTGGACACAAGGGAGTTTTCACTATATTCAACTTGGTATCAGAGCGGGTCTATCCCGCTCTGGTTTGTGTCTCATATCATTTGTCTGATGTCTCCTAGAATTACTTCTAATATAGGCATTAGTCCGAACCCTAACTAATGCCTATATTATCTTATGTGTATCTTCTACACAAGAGGAATTACTCCCATGTCTAATTTTCACTATATTCAACATCTTATTTATGCCAATGTTATAGTCATTAGTTAAAGTAACAAATAGAAGAAAGAAAATAGAATAAGAATGCATAAGAAATGCAAAATGTCATCCAACACTTGGTTTTTTAGGTAATTAAAAGAATTTAAAAGGATGTATTTTATTTTTTAGTAGGTACCTTTCGAAACTTATTAGCAAGACCATTTACTTTTATTATGATTTTAATGAAAGAAATTTAGGAGATAGTGGGACAAGGGGAGGAGAGGATAAGGTAGAATTGGGGCAAAGTGTTAAAACAAATATTTCCTTAGATCAAGGAATTGACCTAACGGTGTCTCTATAACTTGAATCCATGAAACTAATTTTGGCATAGCCTTTTCTAATGACATGTTGACGAAGATCCTCTCATCTTCTTCAACAACCTTCATTTCTAGCAACGCCACTCTAGCGAACCCACTTGAGCTTTCTCTTCCTTTACATACTATTTGTTCTCTCAGTTTGTGTTTTCTTATTTTTCCTTTTTTCATTTTTAATACAAACTTTTATTTCCCTTTTGTTCTACTTTTTCCCTATTTTTATTTTCCCTGTAGTCCTAATAGCACCCATGCGCCTATAATGGGTGCAAATCAAGATGTTACATCTAATAATTTCCCACTGGTCAGATTGGAAAGCACGTGCTGATGTTGTGAAGCTGTTGAAGCATTTAAAAAAGGAGTTAACTGTGCTAGTTGTTAGTCATGATTTGAGGTTGTTTCAATTTACTCTACTATATTGATTTTCATTTTCTTATTACATTCTTCTGTTATGGAGTTGTTTAATTAATGATTTGTGAATGTGATTTATGAATTCTTTGGTTGTTGCAAAGATATTGATGTATCGTGTATTCCAAAATGATATCATTCATTGATGGGTAAACACATCATGTTCATATTTACATGACTTATGTGTATCAACATAATTGCTTGGTTTTTATGCAATAAATTAATGTCAATCAAAAGTGTTTTAGGAGGACTTGGAATTCTGACCCTTGTTTCTGACTTGCACAATAAAAACTTCTTTTGATGTTGTTGGCTCAAATTAAGAAAATAAACAAACATTCTATTCCAAAGTTTGTTTCCCAAAATTGTTTGTGGAAGTTTTTCTTTTGATGGTTATCTAATGAACACTTAGTCACAAACTAGGATGAACACATCATTGTTGACAAACTCAACCCAAAGATCAAATACATAAAATATGCGGAAGAAGACATGTAATGAAGAAGATGCCACAATCAAGATAGATTGATAAGCCACCGAAGATTATTCTCTTCAAATTATCAATTCAAAGATAAAAATTGAAAGTCCTTCACAAGAACCTGAAGAGGATTCCTCTTCAGTAGCATAAAGCTTAAGACGCAAATGAGTCCAAACTAATTAGAAAAGTTAACAGATGCCTACTTATGCTATGGACCTATGATTACTATGCTGATCTAACTATTTAGGTTCATCCAACATGGTATATAATAATATCCAAGAAGAGTTTTTAATTACAAAAATTAGAAACAAATACGAAAAAAGCACAATAAGGTCCAATAAAGAGTACACAACTTATAATCAACAATGTGGCCTCAAGCCTTCTTGTTCATACTTATGTTCCCATCCATGCCTTCACTACCAATAGAAGGTGGTATATTGATATCATAGCAAACTTGAAACATGACTTTGATATGATATGAGAATAAAAGAGAGAGAGAGAGAGAGAGAGAGACATATGTTTGAATCTCTAATGTGTGTAGAGCACATAGGATTATGCATTTATAAATAAGAAAATACAAAGGGATGGACCTATGCCCGTTATATCTGACAAGTTTGATTTGAAACTTTCCAATTCGAAAAATATGGAGTAAAGTGTGCTTCAATAATCAAAACTTAGTTTCACTAAAAAGTAATTGCTTTTGAAAATCCAAACACAGCTCAATAGCCACATACATTATAAAAAATTTAGAAGCAAATAAGATAGAGGATACTATACAATCTTTTATGATAGTTTGCCATTAAATCCTCAGGGTATGTCAACTCTTTGTACAGATAGACCTCTACTTATGAGTGTTTGACTATGTTTTCTCTTTATTAGTTGAAAAAAATTGATTTGATTTATATGCTTTTAGAATTCTGGAACAAACAACATAAATTTCAAAGATGTTCACCACTAAAGACGAATTTAATCCATAGGATTAAGTGTGAATGGTTGCATCTAGACTGGAACAAGAACGAGAATACAAAAATATGAACTCAAGAACAAAATGGAAGAAGATAGAATAGAAACTCGTAGAAGATTGCCATTGGATATGAGTTATTCCATAGATAAATAGAAGTGTGAAAACTTTTTTTTAAGAATGGAATAACGTGAACATATACAAGGTAAGAGAAGATGATGAAACTTGAACAAAGAAACAACAATTCAATTCAAAGAGGAAAAAAGAAAATGTGGAGGGGAAGAATTATGATTCAATGGAGGAGGTCATGCCACTTGATCCTATGAACCAAAATAAGACATAAGCCAAAAAGAATTCCCTTTCTCAGACGCACTCTAGAAAAGCTCTGTTATTCAAATATGCATTCAATATCATTAAAAGTTGTTTACAAAGAAAATGAGTGAATATTTATAGCCAAAGGTTCCACTCAAGAAGAAATTAAAATGTTTCTAAAATGAAATGCAAATCTAACCTAGTGGCCTTGAGCAGTTCACAAAATTTAGAAGTCCAAAAAATTGAGGACATGTTCCATGCTTGGTCATGCCTTTCTATCACCGTAAATTCTGCTTATCAAGAAAGAGAGAGAAGTTTACGTTTCTCTTTTTTATCCCGATATTGTGACTTAATAATTTTTCTTATGGAGATTTATGTGCATTTCAGAGAATTTGCGAATCTAGTTGATCGATCATGGAGAATGGAAATGGGTGGAAACCTTAAAGAAGAATTTCTACCATTGTAATCTATGCTCATTGCCTTTTTAATCTCCATGACATTCTATGAGGTTTGTAGCTGTATCGTCAAGTGAGTGATTTATTTTCTATTGTACCTTGGATGCTTAGACTGGAAATTCTGAAACGAAAAAAATAAAAATATAATTCTATAAATAGCTTTCTTGAGATTTGATCATTGAAATGGTCTCGCGGCCTCTATGAAAATTAGTCATGGGTTCAGTTCTTGTTATTCCCATTTTAAAAATTGAAAAATAAAAATATAATTCTATAAAAAGCTTTCTTGGGATATGGACATTAATATGGTCTGGAGGCCTCTTTGACAAGTAGTCATGTGTTCAATTCTTGCGATTCCTATTTTAAAGACTATTTAAAATTTCTGCATATATGCCTATGGCACTCTTGTTTTGCCCATGTTTCAAGCTAAAGGCCAACAAGTGAGGTAATTTAGAGATATAATTGTATAAAAAGCATATAACATTTTCTATGAAAGATAATGTAGGAACTTGGTTATCATAGCTCATAATCTCTTTCTTGGATAGAGTTGCCTACGAAGGAATTCTGATTTGTGGAGGGTCTAACTTGTAGGAGGTAGAGTAAAGTGTTACCAAGCAACATGTTGTAGAGTAAAAACCACCAAGGCATCAACTCTTTGGGGCAATGCTATCATAAGAACTTGGGTCATTATGGGTGCTTAAGTCACACATTGAATTGTATTAAGATACTCAGTGGAATATATTATGAGTCTCACATCGACTAGAGATAACATTAATTTAGAGTATATAAGTGAGTGCAAACCTCACCTTATACGCTGATTTTGTAAGGTTGAATTAAGTTTAAAGTTCACTTTTTAACATGGTATCAGAGCATGAGTTTGAGCCTATCCTAGCGAGAATTGTTGTTTATTAGGTCTGTTGTTCCACCCTTTATTGGGTCACTATCGAAGCATCCATTAATATCTAGTCTCACGCTCAAGATGTACTTTCCTCGGCGTGACAGGAGTGTGTTGGAGGTCTCACATCGACTAGAGATAAGATCAATTTATAGTATATAAGCGGGTGCAAACCTTACCTTACAAGACAATTTGTAGGGTTAAGTTAGACTTAAAGTCTACTTCTTAACTGAATAATAAGTGCTTTATTTCTTTTTCCTTAATAGCTAGCTTTTAAGGGTGGGCTCGTCAAGTACTTATTAGATAACTAGCAATATTAACATTTAATAGGTAAATTATGATTCTTGTGTTTTAACCAGTGGCCTGCACATTCATATCATTAGGTCTATTTGAGGGTCAGTTGAATGCTCATAAAATCCTAGTCAAGAGAGTTTGTATTGACCTCATACCANTATATATATATATATATATATATATATTTATATATGTATGCATGTATATGTATGTATATAGTGTGGCCATCTTTTGAAGATGTGAGATCTCAAACACATACCTTTACATCAAGGACATCAAACATGTGAATAGAGGTGTGTTGAATAGTGGATGGTACGATAGGCCAACAAACATACTAGGATAGACTTTTGTATTTTCTTAAAAAATAAAGGCTTAATACCTCTTTTGGTCCCTCTTTAGGGGGGCAATGTTCAAGTCCGTCCTACCTTTTTTAAAAAGTTCAATGTGATCCCAACTTGTGAAAAAAGTGTGCAATTAAATCCTTTTTGGTTACGGTGTTAATTTTTTAACGGTCCAAGTGCCCTCCTGGAAAAAACATAATAAGGTGTCCACTTTTTGTGATTGCGTGGCATTGGAAAGTTAAATGACATGTTCAGCGAGAGAGAGGAATCTGTGCGAGAAGAGGGAGACTGAGAGGCTAACGAGCTCTTCGGCGAAGTGAAGAACGCGTTCGGCAGCTGTTGCGGAGAGACGACGGAGCTCGTCCCGAGTGGTGATGCGCTGTGTGTCATCTCCGACGATGGCAGTGGAATGGATAGCGGTCCAAATCTTGCAATTTGGGATTAGGGTTTTCGAATTTGGGTTTTTGTTTGATCTGAGTTTGGGTTCCTTTGAGAGCTAGAATCCCGGCTGTAGAGCTGCGATCGTTGGGGCAGGTGGCTACAGTGTCGTAGGCCCTGGCGGCTTCCTCTACGGTGAAGCAGCCCCAAAGACGCCTCTGAAATGGGCCTCTTTGGGTGGCGGCGGAGCATGGGTGAGCAATGTATCCCATTCTGAAGAAACACGATTAGAAGCACATGTCCAAACTCAACACTTTTGCATCCAATTGTTTGTTGTTGCTATTGTTGCCATGAAGGAGTTTCCTTCTTGTTTTGGAGAAAATGGGGTTCAGGTGCTGACTCATCCTCATCAAGCACCACAAGAGCGGCTCAAAATGTTGTCACATGTGTGTACCAGTGCAAATTAAGACGCTGTTCATGTCTGATCATGGTCTCCTGGTCCAAAACTCTGATGGGTCAAGGCTTGAGCGTGGGAATTGATGATTTGGGAAATCATTGTCTCTGCAAGGTTGAGATAAAGCCATCGCTATTCTTAAAGAGAAAAGGGTCCAAGAATTTGGAGGTCCAATCTGGTAAAATTGATATCTTTTGGGATTTGAGTTGTGCCAAGTTTGGTTTCAGGCCTGAGCCGCTGGAGGGGTTCTACTTAGCGGTGGTGTTCAACAAGGAGCTGGTGTTGTTGCTTGGGGATCTGAAAAAGGAGGCATGCAAGAAGATGGACAGTGATTGTGCTTTTTCCCACAATGGTACCGTTTTCATCGCAGCGGAGAGCCGCATGGCCACCGACAGGCTTGATTCGGAGGCCGTTATGGAGAGCGAGAGATTTTCCATGGCGGAGTTATCATAAAGCTTTGATCCATGGCAGAGTTATCATAAAGCTGATGTGTGGCAAGTAAATTGTTCTTTTAAAATTCAAAATTAACATATTATATTCCACGTATGAGAAAAATAGGACAACTTATTAAGTGTTGGCCAACTAGGCAGCTCTACCGTTAAAATTTTGACGCCGTAACCAAAAAGGATTAACTTAATCTGATTTTTCACAAATTGGGACCACATTGAACTTTTTAAAAAAGGTAGGACGGACTTGAACATTGCCCCACTAAAGAGGGACCAAAAGAGGTATTAAGCCAAAAATAAATTTTAAGTCTAATTCAACCTTATAATACCAACTTAGTAATGTGAGGTTTGCCCCCACAATAGTAGACAATGAGAGATCTTCAACAATGATAAATGAGTTGTCTAATACACGAGGCTCCAACCATTGAGAGACTTGGAGAGGATCAAATTTATGTAACCTTTACCCCTATGGACAATGAGGCTTTTTTTTTTTGTTTTTTTTTTTTGTGTGTGTGACTAGAAGAACCATGAATTCATGACTCCAGATCTCAAGGCAGCAGTATTGTTAACTTACTGGCTCACCATCTTCTTGATGGAAAAAAAATGTATTATATAACTGTCTAACATTAAGATGTAAATAACTACGATATTTTAGCTGATATGTTTTCTGGGCTCTTGTCAAAAAACAGGCAGCAGCAGCATAATACCTTTTGTAGCATTAGATATAACTTTCTTATGCTCTTTCCTCTAATTGAAATATTTTGAACTTTGAAGAATAATTATATTTATTTGAATATCAAAAAATTTATGGCAGTACCTTCTCTGATCTTTTATTCAGAATGGTGTGTTGTTTAATTGTCTGCATTGTACACTTTGATCATTTCATTTTTGTTGGATTGTCATTTCTAAAGTGCTACATATTTTGGTGTTGCAACCTAGGTATTTTGTCGCAGATAATGTGCTTGATGAAGTCACTTTTGGTTGGCCAAGGCAAAAGGGTAACCATCACCTCAGGGAGAATCTTACTCTAGGGCTACAAAGGGCAATTAACTGGGTAGTTATGCTTTTGTATACCACCAAGTGTATTTTTATAATACATGTATACACACACACATGGTTATCAAACTCTCAAGTTAACTCGTAAACTCTTACGAGTTTACATTTCCAGACATGGCTTTCGAGTTAACTCGGAAGTAAACTCGTTTTCTGCGTAAACTCGATAGAATCGACTGTGAAATTGGTAGGATCATGTAAAATCGTGAGTTTAGAGCGATTCTGCGAATTTGAAAGTTATATATTTAATTAAATGCATCAAAATTAATGACAATAATTCAAGTATTTATGTTTTACAATATTTATTTTTATGAACAATATAACTATAAATTTTATTTATTTAAAGTTATATAATTTTGTAGACTTATTTGAATTAAGATATTATTTATATAATTTTTTTCATCTGAAGTAAACTCGTATGAGTTTACGAGTTAAGTTTACGAGTCGAGTTTACTCGATTCTCACGAGTTTACGTAAACTTTCGAATTTGATAACCTTGCACATATACACACTTATTTTCATTCTCTTTTCTATGTTTATTGTTGAAATTAGAAGAAAATCTTTCTAATTAGGGAAAATATTTGTAGAATCTTCTTAATTAGAGAAAATATCTATAGAATTTTCTAGTTTATTTTTTCGTATATTGTTTCCTTATTTTCCTTTTTTGAAAGATTAGATTGTTATAAATAGGTGTAAGGAGAATGTAATAGACATGAATGATAATAATAAAATTCATTCTCTTTTCAGGATTTATTTAATTTAATATGTGATTGACGACTTTCTTCTCCACTAACTTATTTATATGTTTCATATGCAATGTTTTTCTTGTTTGTTACTATAGGTTGGATTAAGTGGGATATCATTGGATAAAAATCCTCACTCCCTTAGTGGTGGTTACAAACGCCGTCTTGCCTTGGCAATACAATTAGTAAGATGTTCTTTTCTAAATTCCTGCATGCTATTGCTTCGTGCTGGCACCCGACTTGCTCCTCAGTAGTATATAGATGCTACCTCATTTATTACATTTTAGATGTCAATCAAGCAAGCATGAATTGGCATATGGTTAATGGTTTTTCCAAATTTATTTTTCAGGTGCAAACCCCTGATCTATTGATATTGGATGAACCTCTTGCTGGACTCGGTATGACAATGCAACATATGATTTCTTATTTTGTTTAGCTAGTTGCTATGGTAGTTGTTAGATATATTATCTTTATCTTTTATCTTCATTAGTTAGTCTGTTATTATTTCTTATTTGTATTTTAAGTTTAGCCCATATTTGTTCTATTATAAATAAAGGACCCTATGTGTATATTGGACACAAGGGAGTTTTCACTATATTCAACTTGGTATCAGAGCGGGTCTATCCCGCTCTGGTTTGTGTCTCATATCATTTGTCTGATGTCTCCTAGAATTACTTCTAATATAGGCATTAGTCCGAACCCTAACTAATGCCTATATTATCTTATGTGTATCTTCTACACAAGAGGAATTACTCCCATGTCTAATTTTCACTATATTCAACATCTTATTTATGCCAATGTTATAGTCATTAGTTAAAGTAACAAATAGAAGAAAGAAAATAGAATAAGAATGCATAAGAAATGCAAAATGTCATCCAACACTTGGTTTTTTAGGTAATTAAAAGAATTTAAAAGGATGTATTTTATTTTTTAGTAGGTACCTTTCGAAACTTATTAGCAAGACCATTTACTTTTATTATGATTTTAATGAAAGAAATTTAGGAGATAGTGGGACAAGGGGAGGAGAGGATAAGGTAGAATTGGGGCAAAGTGTTAAAACAAATATTTCCTTAGATCAAGGAATTGACCTAACGGTGTCTCTATAACTTGAATCCATGAAACTAATTTTGGCATAGCCTTTTCTAATGACATGTTGACGAAGATCCTCTCATCTTCTTCAACAACCTTCATTTCTAGCAACGCCACTCTAGCGAACCCACTTGAGCTTTCTCTTCCTTTACATACTATTTGTTCTCTCAGTTTGTGTTTTCTTATTTTTCCTTTTTTCATTTTTAATACAAACTTTTATTTCCCTTTTGTTCTACTTTTTCCCTATTTTTATTTTCCCTGTAGTCCTAATAGCACCCATGCGCCTATAATGGGTGCAAATCAAGATGTTACATCTAATAATTTCCCACTGGTCAGATTGGAAAGCACGTGCTGATGTTGTGAAGCTGTTGAAGCATTTAAAAAAGGAGTTAACTGTGCTAGTTGTTAGTCATGATTTGAGGTTGTTTCAATTTACTCTACTATATTGATTTTCATTTTCTTATTACATTCTTCTGTTATGGAGTTGTTTAATTAATGATTTGTGAATGTGATTTATGAATTCTTTGGTTGTTGCAAAGATATTGATGTATCGTGTATTCCAAAATGATATCATTCATTGATGGGTAAACACATCATGTTCATATTTACATGACTTATGTGTATCAACATAATTGCTTGGTTTTTATGCAATAAATTAATGTCAATCAAAAGTGTTTTAGGAGGACTTGGAATTCTGACCCTTGTTTCTGACTTGCACAATAAAAACTTCTTTTGATGTTGTTGGCTCAAATTAAGAAAATAAACAAACATTCTATTCCAAAGTTTGTTTCCCAAAATTGTTTGTGGAAGTTTTTCTTTTGATGGTTATCTAATGAACACTTAGTCACAAACTAGGATGAACACATCATTGTTGACAAACTCAACCCAAAGATCAAATACATAAAATATGCGGAAGAAGACATGTAATGAAGAAGATGCCACAATCAAGATAGATTGATAAGCCACCGAAGATTATTCTCTTCAAATTATCAATTCAAAGATAAAAATTGAAAGTCCTTCACAAGAACCTGAAGAGGATTCCTCTTCAGTAGCATAAAGCTTAAGACGCAAATGAGTCCAAACTAATTAGAAAAGTTAACAGATGCCTACTTATGCTATGGACCTATGATTACTATGCTGATCTAACTATTTAGGTTCATCCAACATGGTATATAATAATATCCAAGAAGAGTTTTTAATTACAAAAATTAGAAACAAATACGAAAAAAGCACAATAAGGTCCAATAAAGAGTACACAACTTATAATCAACAATGTGGCCTCAAGCCTTCTTGTTCATACTTATGTTCCCATCCATGCCTTCACTACCAATAGAAGGTGGTATATTGATATCATAGCAAACTTGAAACATGACTTTGATATGATATGAGAATAAAAGAGAGAGAGAGAGAGAGAGAGAGACATATGTTTGAATCTCTAATGTGTGTAGAGCACATAGGATTATGCATTTATAAATAAGAAAATACAAAGGGATGGACCTATGCCCGTTATATCTGACAAGTTTGATTTGAAACTTTCCAATTCGAAAAATATGGAGTAAAGTGTGCTTCAATAATCAAAACTTAGTTTCACTAAAAAGTAATTGCTTTTGAAAATCCAAACACAGCTCAATAGCCACATACATTATAAAAAATTTAGAAGCAAATAAGATAGAGGATACTATACAATCTTTTATGATAGTTTGCCATTAAATCCTCAGGGTATGTCAACTCTTTGTACAGATAGACCTCTACTTATGAGTGTTTGACTATGTTTTCTCTTTATTAGTTGAAAAAAATTGATTTGATTTATATGCTTTTAGAATTCTGGAACAAACAACATAAATTTCAAAGATGTTCACCACTAAAGACGAATTTAATCCATAGGATTAAGTGTGAATGGTTGCATCTAGACTGGAACAAGAACGAGAATACAAAAATATGAACTCAAGAACAAAATGGAAGAAGATAGAATAGAAACTCGTAGAAGATTGCCATTGGATATGAGTTATTCCATAGATAAATAGAAGTGTGAAAACTTTTTTTTAAGAATGGAATAACGTGAACATATACAAGGTAAGAGAAGATGATGAAACTTGAACAAAGAAACAACAATTCAATTCAAAGAGGAAAAAAGAAAATGTGGAGGGGAAGAATTATGATTCAATGGAGGAGGTCATGCCACTTGATCCTATGAACCAAAATAAGACATAAGCCAAAAAGAATTCCCTTTCTCAGACGCACTCTAGAAAAGCTCTGTTATTCAAATATGCATTCAATATCATTAAAAGTTGTTTACAAAGAAAATGAGTGAATATTTATAGCCAAAGGTTCCACTCAAGAAGAAATTAAAATGTTTCTAAAATGAAATGCAAATCTAACCTAGTGGCCTTGAGCAGTTCACAAAATTTAGAAGTCCAAAAAATTGAGGACATGTTCCATGCTTGGTCATGCCTTTCTATCACCGTAAATTCTGCTTATCAAGAAAGAGAGAGAAGTTTACGTTTCTCTTTTTTATCCCGATATTGTGACTTAATAATTTTTCTTATGGAGATTTATGTGCATTTCAGAGAATTTGCGAATCTAGTTGATCGATCATGGAGAATGGAAATGGGTGGAAACCTTAAAGAAGAATTTCTACCATTGTAATCTATGCTCATTGCCTTTTTAATCTCCATGACATTCTATGAGGTTTGTAGCTGTATCGTCAAGTGAGTGATTTATTTTCTATTGTACCTTGGATGCTTAGACTGGAAATTCTGAAACGAAAAAAATAAAAATATAATTCTATAAATAGCTTTCTTGAGATTTGATCATTGAAATGGTCTCGCGGCCTCTATGAAAATTAGTCATGGGTTCAGTTCTTGTTATTCCCATTTTAAAAATTGAAAAATAAAAATATAATTCTATAAAAAGCTTTCTTGGGATATGGACATTAATATGGTCTGGAGGCCTCTTTGACAAGTAGTCATGTGTTCAATTCTTGCGATTCCTATTTTAAAGACTATTTAAAATTTCTGCATATATGCCTATGGCACTCTTGTTTTGCCCATGTTTCAAGCTAAAGGCCAACAAGTGAGGTAATTTAGAGATATAATTGTATAAAAAGCATATAACATTTTCTATGAAAGATAATGTAGGAACTTGGTTATCATAGCTCATAATCTCTTTCTTGGATAGAGTTGCCTACGAAGGAATTCTGATTTGTGGAGGGTCTAACTTGTAGGAGGTAGAGTAAAGTGTTACCAAGCAACATGTTGTAGAGTAAAAACCACCAAGGCATCAACTCTTTGGGGCAATGCTATCATAAGAACTTGGGTCATTATGGGTGCTTAAGTCACACATTGAATTGTATTAAGATACTCAGTGGAATATATTATGAGTCTCACATCGACTAGAGATAACATTAATTTAGAGTATATAAGTGAGTGCAAACCTCACCTTATACGCTGATTTTGTAAGGTTGAATTAAGTTTAAAGTTCACTTTTTAACATGGTATCAGAGCATGAGTTTGAGCCTATCCTAGCGAGAATTGTTGTTTATTAGGTCTGTTGTTCCACCCTTTATTGGGTCACTATCGAAGCATCCATTAATATCTAGTCTCACGCTCAAGATGTACTTTCCTCGGCGTGACAGGAGTGTGTTGGAGGTCTCACATCGACTAGAGATAAGATCAATTTATAGTATATAAGCGGGTGCAAACCTTACCTTACAAGACAATTTGTAGGGTTAAGTTAGACTTAAAGTCTACTTCTTAACTGAATAATAAGTGCTTTATTTCTTTTTCCTTAATAGCTAGCTTTTAAGGGTGGGCTCGTCAAGTACTTATTAGATAACTAGCAATATTAACATTTAATAGGTAAATTATGATTCTTGTGTTTTAACCAGTGGCCTGCACATTCATATCATTAGGTCTATTTGAGGGTCAGTTGAATGCTCATAAAATCCTAGTCAAGAGAGTTTGTATTGACCTCATACCAAGTCCTAGAAATCTGTTCTTGTGGTTGATGATGCATATCATTGGTTGCAATTGATTTGTTCATTTTATTTGTGCTCTAGTCTTCTTTGACACGGTAAAATCAAGTAAAGTTTATAACAAACTAGTAAAATTAAACCAAACATGTCTATTTATTGAGAAACTGTCAGGAAACACAGATTTATTTGTTGCATGATTACTTCAAGTACAGGCATAACACAATCATTTTATCAAATTACCAATACTAGTTTTACAAGTCTCACTTATAGTGCAATTCATCACCACTTCAGCGCAGTTTAATTTAACTTGCTACAGCTCCAGCACCAAATCTACAATATAAAAAATTATGAATAAGTAATAATAGTAATCATAATTTAATTATACTTCAGTCATGCATGTATTATGATACTTCATGATATATTAATTTGCTTTCAAATCTAGAAATATGCTCAGGATTAGTTTGAGATTGATGTTATGTTTACATATTATAAAACATTTTAATCAAAATACTTATTGATAGGGTGTTTGGGTATATGTGTTTAGGTGGTGGGAAAGAGGATCAATGCTAGAATCCTTTTTATCTTGATAAGTGTCCGAGGACAAGAATTTTCAAAGTAGTTTGTATTTCAGTTAAGTAAATAATTATATGATCAAAGTAATTGGCAGTAATGCTGAAAGTATTAGAGGAAATGCAGAAAAAATGCTTTGGAAGATTATACAATCAGAACTGATACACAGACCTGCCCTCCCTGGCTTAAACAACAATACGGCTCTACAAAATTATGTTATGCCTCCCCACAATTTCACATCCCCTTATTTGATATTTTCCTTTTCTCTCTGTTGCACAACAATACTCAACACTCCCTTGATCCAAAATTCTTGTCCCCTCTCTTTGTTTATTTTGGCAATTTGTACTGTATTGTGTTGTTGAGATGAGACTTTATGATAGGAGACTAAGAGTCTATGAGAGGAGAAGGAAGAGTTAGTAGAGTTAGTTACTCTAACTGTCTTAACAGTTAGAAAGGGCGCGGGTTAGACTTGTATATATAGGTAGTAGTTATCTGCTGAAAGACACTTTTGGACTACTTGTATTCTTTCTACAGGATTCGTTATTTCTGTGGGGGGAGGTTAGGCTCCCATAGCTGCCCTGTATCTGACTTTCTTGCTGTTAATAATACGTGTGGAGGTTATTCAGTGTTCAGTGTGAGCCCTGGGCGTGTGTTAGTGAGGTTTTCTTTAGGTTTCTTGATTAGAAACCTAACACTTTATATGAATACGTAAAATGGTGCTAATGGAAGATATTTATCAAATTGGTGTGTGAGGAATTGCATTCTAGATGTATGTAGTACTTACACTCTGCGTCTGTTCTAATCCAGTGCTCATTATTTCCAGTTGAGCTGCTGCATATTTGCCCAAGCTGTGGTTGGTTCCAATTGATCATACGTTGTTGGGACCACTCTCTTGATTTGGTATCTGGATGAAATTTTTTGCCGTTGTCTGGATTTGTGGACTTCCGATTATCATATTCATGGAAGAATTTATGAGAAACATATTGTATCTCATCTTTGTGGGATTTAATGCAGTCTTTTCCGTTTATGGGGCTTTCAGGATAGACTTTTCTGTGAAACAAACGTAGAGCCTGCATACCAAGATGAATGAATCAAATCATTTATGATAACGTCATAGTATTCAATGTATTTTTAAGACATTCATATTGAAATTGTGAGTTTGCTTTCATAGCTAATTTTATTCTGGCACTTTACTCATCAGGACTGATATTTAGCACATTACTCTTTGACAAACACCCAAGAAATAAATATGTTATCGTACTGATAATTTTTTGCTAATAAATCTGAGAAATTAATGATTCTCATAATCTGGTAAGAGACTTTTTAAATGTGGTTCAGAAGATCTAGTATTAGAGACCAACCTTGTGGAGTTTTTTATTGGTTGAAGCAGAATCAGCATCTTTCCTGGAAGTGTTGCAGCTTTTTGAAGAACTGCAGACCTTTTTCAATACCTTTCTCATAATATGCCTGACAGCAGACTTATGTGTTTCCTTGACATGTGTTTCACCTCTTATTCCTGTCTCTGTACAATCTTGACTTGTTGCCTTTGTCCTATAAAGTAGCTCAGCTAACGATGCTCTCTTTTTACTTACTTGTTTTGTTTCTGGTAGTTCAAATGAGGACCCCAGTAAATATCCTTGCAGTGGACATACAGCTTTGTTTCTGTAATCTTCAGCTTTGGGTCCATCTATTTCCTTTCCACAAAGTGTAATAGTGCTAACATAGCTGTTTCTTCCTGATGAATCATGGAAACTTTCTTCTCTTTCAGCCTCTAGAAATTTCTCGAGCTCATAGGTTATGAGCTTGAGTTCATTTTCTGTCACCTTTTCACTTCCCATTGGTATGTTTCCTGAAGGCTCCGCAAATGTTGGTGTTCCTGGTTCATTGGTTTCTGTTTCTGTACCAAGTGTTCCAATTGTTAGGAAACCTTCAAAGAGCTGAGAGCATATTGCTGTTGTTTCTTCTTGAGACCTGTCTTCTCTGCTGTCAACCAATCCAGAATAAGATATTTGATTTTCCTGATTGTGTGACTTCGAGAAATTGGGCTGATTTATGGAGCTGAAGCATGGCTTCGTATGGGAGTATTGATTGTCAAGTGTTGGCTTCACTGTAAGGCAAGTAGAAGGGTTTCCTGAAATTTGAGTCCAAACAAATTACTAAACTTGTGAAATTAACAATTAATGATAGATACACGTGCTACATATCTTGGTGAAACATTGATTCTCTGTATTGTTCTCCTCGTACACTGGAAAGAGGACTAAGGAACTTGAGAGAAAAGGGATAATAGTTAGATGAGTTAAATTTGGACCCGGGAAGTGGAGAGTGATACAGGTACAAAATTTTAATTGCAGTACGTTAGTGTTTGCAACCACGTGATAAAGTGGGATGCAGATGTTTCAAGTACAGTAGTCGTCTTGATATCTTTAAAAGGCCTACTGTACAAAATACCTTACGTTTACTTAAGCTGAATCTCTTAAAAATTTTGGTAAGATTAATATTCATAGGCTAGAGATCAGAAAAATCAACGTAGTATTCATATTGTGCTATTTCATTGACTGACAGTAACCACTCAGTCACCGAATATAGAAGTGTTTAGCTGTGACTGGTGACAGTCTTTAGCCTTCACTGAATTCCTTAAAGATTATCATTCCTTTTCATTCATTTCCATTAAGAAAAATAGAGGAAAATTGGAATCTATGAGATAAGATAATAAGGACAGCTTAATACCAAATGTGAAATCCTTGAAAGGTTCTATACTATTCTGCCGATGTTTTCGATGCACCCATTGAAAGAACTGCAATAAGGAAAGTCAGGGATGAAGCTGAAGGAATGAAGAAATTTTTAATTTTCAATGGGCAGAGTTTAGACTCACCTTCATTTTGATCTCTTTTCCTGTTTGAGAACCAAATTTTTCTAGTTCACTGATTATGCTGGTAGATATATATGTGCAAAGAAAAAGATCTCTAGGATTGGCAGGTTACGATTGCTAAAGTGAAAAGGCAAAAGACCTTTTCTTTGTGATTCATTATGAGTTGGAAGTAGATTTATGCTAGAAGAGTCTACGTTGGATGTGCCCATAGAGAAAAACAATTAGATAGGTACAACAGTGTGGTTGGCTATTCTTTTCAAAAATTCTAATCATGAGGGTGTATTGTAAATTGTGTGTGGAATAGGTACACCAACAAATTTCTGTTTGTCTATATTTGTCTCTACGAACTTAATGGAGTTTGATCACTTTCAGATGTAAATACGTAATGTTTGATGGCAAATACTGTCATTTTGAATGATGAGGCTAAAACACTATCAGAAAAATTTACTCTATTATGGTTACAGATGTGTCTAATAATATACTATTACCAATTAGGAAAATATAAATTTGTAGTTGTTGGGTTCTTTCAGTGACATGCTATTGCTGGAAACATTGCTGTTTAATTCGAAAGTCTTTCTTCTATTAAGTGATTAATTCTTCCTGTACTCTGAAAGATGTAAACCATCTTTTTTGTAGTATCAGCTATAAACTGAGAAACTTTTTCTCTATCTAGCTTGAAAAGTCCACGGTCCCAGTGTTTTGAATTTTCGGACGCTGTTATGGAATCAGTAGAATTTGCTTACACACTTGTAATGTTAGTTAGAATTAAAACGCTAGACTTCATTCTTTGCAGGGCTAGTGTGAGAAGTTTCTGAATGAGCTAAAAGCATTAAGAAAATATCTTTTCATGATGTGCCTGATAATATATTTGTGTGCTTATATCATCGTCAATATTATTGTTATCATGAACATGTAGATAGGAGGTGCAAGTATCAGCGTAAAGAGAGGGGCAGGGGTAGATAGTCAAGTGGATCAACCTTCAATCCTTATCACATCGAGCCTAAAGTCAACTGTGCAAATAGCTCTTTTACTATTATTGTGTTGATTTTGGATTGTTATTAACGTTCTTTATGATGCATTGTGGTAATTCTTGATAAAACCTTTTGCGTCTTTCAAATTTATCAGATTTCCACACAAGCACATTGCAGATTGATTAAAAGTAAGTTAAACTCTTCTAGAAAATTTGTATGGTTTGCCATGTGATTTTAAGAAACAATATTGCAGTTTTAAACCTGGGAACGAGATCATAAAAGGGATGTTAACCCCTAGGCCTGCACATTGTTTGATGTGACTTGACTTCTTTTATCTTTCTCAATCAAGAAGCACTTCCCGTTGCATGCTATCCGCGGTTCAATCTTTTAGGCTTTTATCCGAGCCATTTTTGTTTGTAGTTATGCCTTATGAACTGCCTTTATTGTCGTACAGCATGTTGAAGAGATAATTCCTGTTCCTGAAAGTTCAGTATCACGCCTAGAAAGTGAACAGTCATACTTTCCCAGGGGAAAACTGTAGTAACAGCTCAGGCGTGAACACAAACTGTAGTGAAGTTTCGGCGTAAACACTATGTAGCAATGTTTACTTTTAAGATATACATGAATGTTCTGCAGGGTTAGCACTTTCTTTAATAAGGACAAATAATTGTTATGGCCCATTCTAAGTTATACATGTTTGGCTGTTTCTTCCTGCTTCCTGCACCTTTACAAGTTTCTTTATCACCTCTGTTCATTGTGGAATGGATTTTTCATAGTGCACATTCCTGAATGAACAGGAGGTAGCAGAAAAAACTTGTGGGGTGCATGAAGTCAGTGTCAATATACTTTAGAACACTGGTTTCTCCAACGATGGTAATTTGTAATTGAATTAGCTCATGAACATACTTATATTATATCTGCTTTTTTATCCAAAATTTAGAACACCCTTGGTTCAAGATGGGCCTTTCTTTCTAGTCAATTTATTTGGCACTAAGCAATAATTTTCTTGAAAATAGTACACTACAGAAGACTGGATTGCTCCTGCACAATCCAAAAAAGAGCTGAATTATTGAGTTAAGTACGACTGGCTTATTGTTGATGTGTCGTTCCTAATATATTCTCCTTTGGATTGGTTGATATAAAGTGTGCAGCGTCAACATCACACTTGCAGCATCAACTGCATTTGTTTGTCACATGCTTACCTGCTTTCTCAGGAATGTTGTCTCAAATCTTGTTTAACTTTACTGCTTAATCTTTTCCTTCAAGTTGTTTTCATGACCAATATTTTCTATTAACTTTGCATGTGGAACAAGGCCAAAATACTTGACTAACAATGAGGACGTTCCCATTTTATAAACAATTTCTTCGCATCACGACACCAGTTCACTATGTTTCAACAGGGGAATATGTCCCAAGTCCTAGCCCAATAATTGCTTAGTCAGATAGGTTTATTACTGATTCTAACAAATCCCACTAATGAGCTCAACTTTTGTGTTATGGCATCTTCAAATTTAGCAGCAAGCTGGGCAGACTAACTTGAAACTTGCCATTTGCTAGTAAGTACAGAGCCAAGTTAGCCATTCAAAAAGTGATATCCAAAACAAACACTAAGTCTTTAGAGTTATGGGGTCACCTTAGTCAGTGTAGCAGGGTACATGTGTGACCCATATAAAGGATAGATGGTGACCATGTGAATTCCACGTGACTATGAAATTGAATCTGGTTTATACTTATAATTTAAGCAAATAATCAAAACCCAGTCTCTTCTTACAACCACTGACTTATCTTCTTTCCATTACAGGTCTTTTTTTTTTTTATCACTGAGTGTGTTTCACGGATTAAAAATCCATTTTTAATATAAGTTTTAATTTTATAAGATTTGAAAAATTATTTTCTGGTCTTATTGATTCTTGTAAAAGTTTTAACTTGTAATTTTATGGTATTTCTCTACATTTTCTTTCTTATCAAGAGATAAAGAAGTGATGGAAATATATGAAGCTATTATTTCAAATTAGCTAACGCTAGTCATCATTGTCATTCAATGAAAATTTTATTAAAAAAGAAACCAAAAAAAAAGGAAAGAAAAATAGGAGAGAACCACACTAAATCCATGATAAAATTATATTGCACACATAATTATAAAGTCACTTACTATGAAGAAAACCCATTATTGTCTTCATGAAAATTTTGAAATCCATATACCAGGAAAAAGGAAAATTGCTCCGCATATTAAAAATTTGATCATTAATCAATCCTCTCCGGTTCCAAAAAAAGCTTTTAATTTTTATAAGTTTTTGCTTTGGAAGATTTAGTATTAATTTTTTTTGGTTTACCTCTACCAAGTTTCCTTATAGTTTGAACAGATTTATCATTCTTTTCAAGTTGGTATCAAGAGTCAAACCTTTGTGTCTTCCTCGTCTATCGTCGGCAGCATTGTCTCTCTATCATTTCCGTCGTTCGCTCCGCTGTCCGCCACTGCCAAACGTTGCTTTCTCCGACGAAGTCAAGGGTTTGGTGTGCCTTGAGAAGCGTAACCCAACCCTGGTGGTCCCATCCTCCGAAGCCTCGGCACGAGCCACCACGCGCCGCCACGAGCCGCTTCTTTCTGGCCAGTCTCGACCGCGTGTTCCACACGCGCCGCCTTCCTGATGTTAGAGTTACACCGCGTCACTACAGATCGTCTCGCCGGGGCTTCTTGAGTGTGTTTTGGTTCTTGTTTCTTCGTTTTGTTGGCTTAAGCTCATACCTAGAGTTTCCTCCCTCACGTTTTTTGAAACCCTAAGTCCTATTTCTTCTCACAGTTTTAAAATGGGCTCTTCTACTAGAATTAATTCCTCTTTATCTGCTACCCCTATCATTACATCTGCAAAACTGAATTGGAAAAATTATTTGTCATGGTCCTCTACTGTGGAATTGTGGTTTCTTGGTCAAGGACACCATAATCACCTTGAACAAGAAATTTTTGTGGTCCCAGATGAAGAAAAATCTCAATGGCAAAAATTAGACTTTCAGTTATGTGTTGTTTTGTGGCAAACGGTTAAGCAAGAGGTTCTAGATATCTTAAGACCCTATAAGACATGTTCCTCTTTTTGGAAAAGGGCTCAAGATATTTTTTTAATGATGTACAATGTCTTTTCGATGCAACCCAAAGAGCAACTTCTCTCAAACAAGTCAATCATGATATGGTTTTCCATATAGCAAAAGCTCGGGTTGCAGTAGAAAAGTTAAAGAACTTCTTTGTAGCTGATTCATTATAAAATATCAACAAAAAGCTTGACAAGTTTTACATGGTCCTAATTTTGAAAAGTTTACACTCTGATTTTGATCATGTACGTGATCAAGTTTTAGCTGGTGATCAAATTCCATCAATGGATGACTTAGTTACTCGACTCCTTCGGGTACCTACATTGGTTAAAGACGAGAATTTAAGTGATGCTATTGAAACATCAGCAATGGTGACACCACGAGGAAGTGGAGGAGGTAGGAGCAACCGAGGAGGAAGTGGTGGTCGAAGTGGACGTCCTCAATGCTCATATTGTAAGAGAATGGGTCATACCCAAGATAAATGTTATTCCTTGCATGGCTTTCCAGACAAAGCTGCTCATGTGTCTAAATCTGATAATTCAGAATCTAGAATTTTTTATGAAGATTACCAAGAGTTTTTGAGGTGCAAGTCTGAAAAATCTTCTAATCTTGGTCAATCCTCCTAAATGTCAAATGTGTCAACTGCCTGCATCTCTAAACCTGTGGAAGGTCATAGTCTATGAATTCTTGACTCGGGTGCCTCAAATCATATCTCTGGTAACATCCTTTCATTTTCTTCTATGTCTTCTCCGAAAACTCCTCATTTCATTACTATCGTCAATGAATCCAAAGTTGCATCTCAAGGGATTGGCAAAGTTTCCCTATCTCCTTCACTAAAATTGAATTTTGTTTTGTATATTCCTCATTGTCCTTACAATTTAATCTCTTTGAGTCAATTGACTCGTTCCTTAAATTATTTTGTAACCTTTTATGCTAATTCCTTTGTTATACAGGAACATGGTACGGGTCATTTGATTGGAGAAGGACATGAGTCACGAGGACTTTATTTCTTAAAATCTAACTCCTCAGTTTCCTGTTTCGCAACTTCATCCCCAAAACTTTTGCATGATCGGTTGGGCCACCCAAGCTTATCCA